GTGATCTATTTGTCTTTTGTCAACGTGACACTTTTTTACTGATTGGCCGTGTCGGGTGGTGGAGGGTTACGACACATTTATAAATAACGCGATCTAAACCCAAAAACGTTGATTATGAATAATATTGGTCGCGAAAGCCTACACGCGTTAAACTGAATAATACAGATGTTGTACATTATTTCATAAAAACAATGTTTAATTATAATGACATCAGGTGTTATTTACTGTACCTACGAGTGCATTCTACTGCACTCCTACATGGCAGGGCGGGAGACGAGGTTGGAGGAGCTACTGGCGGGTAGATGGCGTGGCTCACAGAGTGACTATAATTACCATAGAGAGGTTTTTTGGGTTAGATCGCGTGAATATAAATGAGTCGTTAAAGCCGCCACCACCCGACACAGTCAATTAGTGAGGGTTTGTCACGTAAACAGAGCATGCCAAGTCGCTGCTAGTTCAACAAACACCGGTGTTTGTTGTCTACTTACGAACGAGTTTGGTTCATTTGTTTGTAAGTCCAACTTTACTCCTGTTGATTCCAAACGTGTTGAACGGCATGTACACTAAACACGGGGAATGGCTTTAAAAGTTGTATAATCTCCTGTAGATGTAGATGCCACTGGTTCTTCATGTTCTGCAGATGTAGATGCCACTGGTTTTTCACGTTCTGCAGATGTAGATGCCACTGACTGGTGCTTCACGTTCTATAGATGTAGATGCCACTGGTTCTTCACGTTCTATAGATGTAGATGCCACTGATTCTTCACGTTCTGTAGATGTAGATGCCACTGGTTCTTCACGTTCTATAGATGTAGATGCCACTGGTTCTTCACGTTCTGCAGATGTAGATGCCACTGATTCTTCACGTTCTGTAGATGTAGATGCCACTGGTTCTTCACGTTCTTCAGATGTAGATGCCACTGGTTCTTCACGTTCTATAGATGTAGATGCCGCTGGTTCTTCACGTTCTGCAGATGTAGATGCCACTGGTTCTTCACGTTCTATAGATGTAGATGCCACTGGTGCTTCACGTTCTGCAGATGTAGATGCCACTGGTTCTTCACGTTCTATAGATGTAGATGCCACTGGTGCTTCACGTTCTGCAGATGTAAATGCCACTGGTTCTTCACGTTCTATAGATGTAGATGCCACTGGTTCTTCACGTTCTATAGATGTAGATGCCACTGGTTCTTCACGTTCTGCAGATGTAGATGCCACTGGTTCTTCACGTTCTATAGATGTAGATGCCACTGGTGCTTCACGTTCTATAGATGTAGATGCCACTGGTTCTTCATGTTCTGCAGATGGAGATGCCACTGGTTCCTCATTTTCTGCAGATTTAAATGCCACTGGTTTTGAACGTTCTGCTGATGTAGATGCCACTGGTTCTTCACGTTCTGTAGATGTAGATGCCGCTGGTTCTTCACGTTCTTCAGATGTAGATGCCACTGGTTCTTCACGTTCTGTAGATGTAGATGCCACTGGTTCTTCACGTTCTGTAGATGTAGATGCCACTGGTTCTTCACATTCTTCAGATGTAGATGCCACTGGTTCTTCACGTTCTATAGATGTAGATGCCGCTGGTTCTTCACGTTCTGTAGATGTAGATGCCACTGGTTCTTCACGTTCTTCAGATGTAGATGCCACTGGTTCTTCACGTTCTATAGATGTAGATGCCGCTGGTTCTTCACGTTCTGCAGATGTAGATGCCACTGGTTATTCACGTTCTATAGATGTAGATGCCACTGGTGCTTCACGTTCTGCAGATGTAGATGCCACTGGTTCTTCACGTTCTATAGATGTAGATGCCACTGGTTCTTCACGTTCTGTAGATGTAGATGCCACTGGTGCTTCACGTTCTGCAGATGTAAATGCCACTGGTTCTTCACGTTCTATAGATGTAGATGCCACTGGTTCTTCACGTTCTATAGATGTAGATGCCACTGGTTCTTCACGTTCTGCAGATGTAGATGCCACTGGTTCTTCACGTTCTATAGATGTAGATGCCACTGGTGCTTCACGTTCTATAGATGTAGATGCCACTGGTTCTTCATGTTCTGCAGATGGAGATGCCACTGGTTCCTCATTTTCTGCAGATTTAAATGCCACTGGTTTTGAACGTTCTGCTGATGTAGATGCCACTGGTTCTTCACGTTCTGTAGATGTAGATGCCACTGGTTCTTCACGTTCTGTAGATGTAGATGCCACTGGTTCTTCACACTCTGTAGATGTAGATGCCACTGATTCTTCACGTTCTGTAGATGTAGATGCCACTGGTTCTTCACATTCTGCAGATGTAGATGCCACTGGTTCTTCACGTTCTGTAGATGTAGATGCCACTGGTTCTTCACGTTCTGTAGATGTAGATGCCACTGGTTCTTCACGTTCTGTAGATGTAGATGCCACTGGTTCTTCACGTTCTGCAGATGTAGATGCCACTGGTGCTTCACGTTCTATAGATGTAGATGCCGCTGGTTCTTCACGTTCTATAGATGTAGATGCCGCTGGTTCTTCACGTTCTACAGATGGAGATGCCACTGGTTCCTCATTTTCTGCAGATTTACATGCCACTGGTTTTGAACGTTCTGCTGATGTAGATGCCACTGGTTCTTCTTTATGTTCTGCTGATGTAGATGCCACTGGAATTAGCACGTAGATGCTAATTCCCTTTGGGGATCGTGTTCCCTCTACCCTTGAAAAACTCGGTCTGAACAGGCAACTGGACCATATCGACAACTTTGTTCGTATCTCTGAAAGTTCGTAAGTCGAATGTGCGTAAGTCGAATGTCCATGTATATTTATGCAATCTAACCCAAGAACAACCTCTATTATTGACAATGTTGGTCGCGATAGCCTACTACGTGTTAAACTGTAATAACTTTGGCCAACAAATAGATATTTTTTTATTATCGTGACCGCCGATCGTGATAATAGAATCGCTGGAGGACGGGGGTTGCTGATTGGTTCAAAAGCGTCCATTGCTCTCATTGGCTGGGGCCAGTGTCGACAAAAAAGATGGCGGCGGGTGTGCGTTTCCTCACTCCTAAGAGCTTTATAGATTTTTGGATTTTCTACATTTTTGTTACCGTAAAACCGTTTTCTTTCAAGCTCCGTAACGAATCAGCACTCCGCGGGAGGGTCTGCCTCCGCTCTACCATATTACGCCTTCGTCAAACTGCGGACAAGGTGTCCACTCGGGAGAAATAGAAGTTCCAGTTACTCAAAACTCTTACAAACCAAGGCCCAACCATCTCTGTGTATTTTACAGATGTTATAAAAACACAATTAGCAACATGGAACATCAATATTAATATCACATCAAGGTACCAAAACCATTTGTTAAAGGGCGATATGCTCTTGCCAAAGTGATTACGTGGCATTAGAAAATTGTCACGATCATCATCAGCCATTATCACTCCACTGCTGGATGAAGATCTCCCCAAGCATTTAACATAGCCGAGTGGGTGTACACGGACAGCTTTTGGGGTAAGATTACTCAACAAATAGGCGGATGAGAGCGGGCTGGAGTGCTTTTGTGAAGTTTGTCTTGATAATGAAAGTTCATTAACATGGTAATTCACCAACAATACTGACGTAGCAAGGAATCGAACTTAGGTCGCCTAATTAATAAGACAGTGAGCTGTCTCCCCAGTGCTTGTGTACGTACGTGTGTACGTGTATACGTGTGTACGTGTGTACGTACGTGTGTACGTGTGTACGTACGTGTGTACGTGTGTACGTGTGTACGTACGTGTGTACGTGGAACTTCTTTCGCACCATACGTAGCCAACCGTACTAATCGGAAGTGCGGGGGAAGGATAAACGAAACACAACAATAAGTTCTAAACAAGTTAGTTTGACAAACTGGACGACGATGATTTAAAAGTGCCCAGCTCCAGTGGCTTCCTAATATCGAAAGGAAGAACGTTCCAGACGGCCGCAGAAGCGCATCTGAAAGGGCGACTGTGTGGGTGAGTGTGTGTACGTGCCGGCCTTCATAAGTGCTACTCGTGAAACAGCACTTGCCCTAACAGGCTATACGGGTGACATTTGTCTTCGCGTGTATGTGTGTTAAACTTCTTTCGCACCGTACATAGTCAACCGTGATAAGCGGAGGTGCCGGGGAAGGACAACATTGTTTAAACACCCGCCCTAAGTGCTCATTTAAGGCTGATTCGGCCTATTCGGGAGCCAGGACCGGTCCAGATATCCATCACCGGTGGTGGTGAGCGGGAATCGAACTCGGGTCGTCGGGTTCGTAGCGCAGCGCGCTAACCGCTCCACCACCGCTCCCCATCACGGATAGACACACGCGCACACACTGATGGTCAAACACACACGCACATGCATACACAAACACACGTACACACGTACACAGTGCAACGGCGAATGAAATATTGTACCCTACACTGGCTAAACCGTCCGAGTGCGTTGATGTATGCACGTTTGATTGGAGTGGCATCAGACACGCGGCTGTGTGCGCGTGCGCGTGGCATCTTGCAATGCAGCAGTTTTAAGCGAAGCCCTGCCAAGGTTATGTCGTGTGCACGTGTAATGGATCTGCCAGTGGATGTGTGTGTGTGAGGCTGCTGCCCAGACCGCCCACCCACCCACACCCTGCGCCGTGCCGGCCTTCGTAGGCGCTGCTGCTACTCGCTAACAGCACTTGCCCCAGCAGTCTGTGGGGGGATCTTTGTCTTTGTGTGTGTCTGTGGTGGGAGCGAACCCCGGTGACCCGAGTTCGATTACTGCTCACGACCAATCATAATACACAGTTGACTCCGCTTCAAACGAGTACCTGGTGCGGTGTGTAGTAGACCTCGCCACTAGGGAGACAAAGGCGGCCGGGCGTGGGTGCTGTCCACCCGGCGTGGTGCTGGCCACCCACCCACCCCCTCGTGTGCCGCGCCGGCCTTCACAGGTGCTCGCTAACAGCACTCGCCCCGAAAGTCTGTGAAGGCTACACGGGGGATCTTTGTCTTTGTCTTTGTGTGCGCCAGTCAACTCCACGGCGGCCGCCGGGTCAGTCACGTGACCTCCTCCCGAGCCTCCGACGCTTCACGCGGCCGGCCTCAAAGCGCACCTCCCCTGGCACAGGCGCCACGGTGACGTCACCGCCACTCATTGGTGATCGGCTGCTGCTGCTGCTGCCACTTTGTGGACACACACCGAGGGCGAGTGAGCGTGCGAGGGCGATCCCCTTTAAACCACGCAGAGGTCAAACGCAAGCGGATCTGGGGGGGGGGGGGGGGGGTGGATCAGGGGAAGGCATCATTCGACCTCCTCGGTCCATCCACCTCGTCGGAGTCGCCACACGTCCAGCCCACCCGCCCACGTGTCAACGCCCATCTTCCTCGCGGCTCACACATCCATTCCAATCCGCAGCTCCCCGTGAGCACGCCGCCGCCGAGCCCTGCTTGACCCTGCACCAAGGTCAAAGCCTCGCAGTTACTGCCCAAAGCTTCGCCCGCCCCCTTTGATGCCATCTCATCTCGCCGTCGCTTCCTTCCTCCTGCCAGATTCTGTGCAGCCGCTGCACCGTTGACAGCCCGTCGGCAATGGTCCGCTGTTAACGCTCTCATCACGACCGCCGCCGCCGCCACCACCGCCACCACCGCCACCACCACCGCCACCGCCACCACCGCCACCACTGCCACCACCACCGCCACCACCACCGCCGCCACCACCACCGCCGCCGTCACCGCCACCACCGCCACCACCGCCGCCACCACCGCCACCACCGCCGCCACCACCGCCACCATCGCCACCACCACCGCCACCACCGCCACCACCGCCACCACCACCGCCGCCACCGCCGCCACCACCGCCACCACCGCCACCACCACCGCCGCCATCACCGCCACCACCGCCACCACCGCCGCCACCACCGCCACCACCACCACCACCCCCACCACCGCCGCCACCACCGCCACCACCACCGTCTGGCTTTAGGGTCTTCACTGCGGTCACTGGGGCCTGGGTTGACACTCCCAATGTAAAATATTAATTACGTTTAACAATACTTATATATAACGCGTTATCTCAGTCCATTGAAGTGGTTGAAATAACACAAATTAGCACGTAAAGAAAGAGAATAATTCGTAAGTGGTTTTGACGATGATGACGACGACTTAAGATTTGATAGGAAACATCCAATGTTCAACGGTAACTTTTCCTAATCGTGTTAATGAACACGAGGTAAGACCTAAACAATAATAATAACAACAGTCGTAACGTTTATAACAAACGCTGAATGAAAATAGTCCAAGAGCAGTCATTAAAATGTTGTAAAATGTTTAGGAGTTCTTGCAAACCATCACATTGTGAATCTGCGGTGCGGTGATTCACTATGACTAATGCGTGCACCTCCCGTGTCAGAAAACACCTCCAATAATCAAGCGGCACGAATGGTATTCATCAAACGCGTGCTCAATACACACGGATCAATGCTCGAGGTAACAGGACGGAAATCACAATTACTCGGCCAAGTAAACATCAACACCCGTTTGTAAACATTAAAGCAGTTGCAGGTGAGAATCATCGCAATTGCAAACATCGCCTGTAGCAGCGAGTGTTGTGACACGGTCCGGTTATTCACGACCCTCTGCCCCGGTGGTGGAAATTCCACATTCTTATGTCAGGGAAATGTATCAGGAACAAACAGAGAGCTGATAACGCAACAGAAAATGTATTGAACAGTTTGAAAATCAACAGTAAATTATAATAATAATGATACCCTGGTAAATATTTGCAACGTCCAAATAATACCGCGTCAGTGACACAGGATGGTAATTCAGCAACAGACGAGGGTCATGTCACAGTCGTTTCCTGACTGGCGGTCTCTTCGTCCCATCGTGACGTGAAGCGTCTCATCGCCCGCCACCTCTACCCCTCTGACCCTTCTTTCCTGAGCCATCCTCTCGCAGTCTCAAGACTTCACGCCGTTAAACCTTCACGCTGACTCTAGCCTCCCACTGACCTCCTCGCACTTTAACCCTCTTTAAATACAGCATCTTCAAACAACAACAACAAGTCCCCGGACGTGAGGAATGTCTCGAGACGCGGTTGCATCTAGACAGCTTTGCGTTCTACCCGCGACACTTTCAGCTTTGTCACTTGCGCCATCTCGCCTCCGGCCGGCGCCGTGAGCCGCGTACGGCGCGAAAGAAGTTCAATACCCACACGTAGCCACGGCGGCCGCCGCAGCCGCCGTAAGTTTTGCTGGCAAAGGGCGGCATTTTTAAAAAAAACATTTTCTTACATTTTTGGTTTTCCTCTCGCAAATTTGCACAGACGCCGGCCCTGCTGCGTGGACACCGCGCCACGCGCTGCACCTGTGCACGGATCAAGGCCATCGCACGGATCAAGGCCATCGCAAGCGAGGGTCTTCACCGTGCTGTTGGAGCTGCAACCAAAGCAAGATGCGTACGCGCACCGAGGTTTAATAAACGAGCGCGCGCACACACGCAGCACGGCCGAGCTTGAACGTTCCTTGTTCATGAGCCCGCTCAGCCTGAACGTTCCTTGTTCACGAGCCCGCTCAGTCTGAACCTTCCTCGTTCATGAGCCTGCTCAGTCTGAACGATCCACAGTCCTGTAAGGGACCGCACGGAGGCCATGCGCAGTGGGGCATCTAAACCTAAGCCACGTTTGGAGGCTGAAACTATTCCGCTCGCCCAAAACCAACGTGAACTTTGCCTCTCTTTAACACGCAGTCGTATGCTTCTGCGACCATAACAAGGCGTGTTCTTGTTGGGGTGAGTATCGCGCAAATATAAACCTCTCGCGTCTCATCACTCGATCGGTTTCGCAGCTCGATCTGGTGGCGCTTGTCATCCGGTCGTGAGAAGGCCGCCCCTACTTTCCGTTTGCCATCGGGGGCAACCGTGACAGCCACATCAGGTAGCAGCTCAAAGACCTGGTGCCTGCCGGGTGCGCGGTGAAGTCGCCGGAGATCTCGTGAACGGGATGAGCGCGTCGCGACCGCATCGTCCGTGAGACGCCTTCACGGTAGCGCTGTCCGTGCCTCGCGGCGAGGGGCTTGCCTGCGGTTTGCCGAGCAAAGGAGAATAACAGCAACAACAACAACAAAAACTAAATAACTTCGAGAAAAAGAGCAAGCCGCACGAAACGTTTCTCGGGGTTTAAAGATCTTGTGGGACGCGCGCGATCTAATCACACGTACATCGTCACGGGGTCACGTGCGGAGATAAACAACAACAAACGGTGGCCGTTCGGGTCAGGGGGATGAAGACCATCATCACAGCCAATGCTGTCGATGCCACAGCACGCCAGCCATCGCTCCTTTCCCTCTGCTCGATCCTGTCGATGTTTCACAGCTGACACCCGCGACCTCCAAGGAGCCCTCTTACAGTCTCTTCACCACCACCTCCTTGCCACGCAATCGACGGCCACCCTCGCCGCCGCCCTCAGCACCGTCACCCCGCCGCCTCGCCACCGCTACCGGCCCACGGACCGTTGGGTCGCCATCCGCGTGGCCAGCGGACGACGGCGCATCACGACTCTGCACCGTGATCGTTAATTCGCACCGAGTGCAATTTTACGCAAATGGTCGGCAAGAGGGTCGGGGGTGGGGGGGGGGATGGTGGCGGTAGGGGGGGGGTAGAGGGGAGGGGGGGTTATATTAAATATTAAATTATTGAACGGAAGGGAGGGGGGGGGGAGATTTCGGAGTCCTCGCGAGGCCGGCGAGCCCTGCCGTGACAAACGGTGACGACGGCTGATTGACGAATCACCGCGACGAGGCGATTTAGAGCCGCGCGCGGGTTTGAAGGGCAAACGTGGACAAGCGCACAGACACGCACACGCGTTACACACACACACACACACGCGTTACACACACACACGCGTTACACACACACACACACACGTTACACACACACACACGCGTTACACACACACACGTTACACACACACACACACACGTTACACACACACACACGCGCGGGTTTGAAGGGCAAACGTGGACAAGCGCACAGACACGCACACGCGTTACACACACACGCGTTACACACACACACACGTTATACACACACACACACACGCGTTACACACACACACACACACGTTACACACACACACGTTACACACACACACACACACGTTACACACACACACACACGCGCGGGTTTGAAGGGCAAACGTGGACAAGCGCACAGACACGCACACGCGTTACACACACACGCGTTACACACACACACACGTTACACAGACACACACACGCGCGGGTTTGAAGGGCAAACGTGGACAAGCGCACAGACACGCACACGCGTTACACACACACGCGTTACACACACACACACACACGTTACACACACACACACACGCGCGGGTTTGAAGGGCAAACGTGGACAAGCGCACAGACACGCACACGCGTTACACACACACGCGTTACACACACACACACGCTACACACACACACACGCGTTACACACACACACACACGCTACACACACACGCGTTACACACACACACACGTTACACACACACACACACGCGTTACACACACACACGCGTTACACACACACACGCACACGCGTTACACACACACACACGTTACACACACACACGTTACACACACACACGCGTTACACACACACACATTACACACACGCACACGCGTTACACACACACACACGTTACACACACACACACGCGATACACACACACACACGTTACACACGCACACGCGCGTTACACACACACACGCGTTACACACACGCACATACGTTACACACACGCGTTACACACACACACGCGTTACACACACACACGCGTTACACACACACGTTACACACACACACGCACGCGTTACACACACACACGCGTTACACACACACACGTGTTACACACACACACACGCGTTACACACACACACATTACACACACGTTACACACACACGCGCACGCGTTACACACACACACGCGTTACACACACGCACATACGTTACACACACACGCACGCGCGTTACACACACACACGCGTTACACACACGCACATACGTTACACACACACGTGTTACACACACACGCGTCACACACACATACGCGTTACACACACATACACGCGTTACACACACACGCGCGCGTTACACACACACACGCGTTACACACACGCACGCCCGTGCACACGCGTTACACACACGCACGCCCGTGCACACATACACAGACACACACGCGTCACACACACACACGTTACACACACACACGCGTTACACACACACACGCACGCATTACACACACACACACACGCACACACGCGTTACACACACACACGCGTTACACACACACGTTATACACACACACGCGTTGCACACACGCACGCACACACACGTTACACACACACACGCGTTGCACACACGTGTGCCCGTGCACACACGCACAGACACGCACATGCGTTAAATACACACACGCACACGCATTACACACACACACGCGTTACACACACACACACACACGCGTTGCACACACGTGTGCCCGTGCACACACGCACAGACACGCACATGCGTTAAATACACACACGCACACGCATTACACACACACACACACGCGTTATACACACACATGCGTTGCATACACGCACAGACACGCACGCACGTGACACGCACGCACAGAGAGAGAAGCATCACCGCACTCGATAGCACGGAGTATATCAAAAAATAAAATCCCCGCGTGCTTACGACGCGTGCGTGCGTGAACACGCACGCCTCCGCACGCTGCTTGACCCTAGCGGCAAACAGCGCCGTGGTGGATGATGGTGGATGATGGTGGATGATGATGGGGCTTCGTCACGGACAAGGCCAAAAGCAGAGATCGACGCTCGTGTCGATTTGTAAATAAGCGAGCCCCGAGATCTTGGGCGAACACAAAGGGCATTGCGTCTGTGAAATGTTATGCTGTGTATGTATATATATACACACACACACAGTGCGTGCGTGTTTTATACTGCGCTCGATGGAAAGTCTATTGCTGTTCACGAATATCGCTCAGCGTTCTGCCCATTGCGTTCAAGTGGATTTTCTAAACGGCATTATATAGCAAGAGTCATCATCATCATCGTTGTTGTTATATTAACAATAACGATTAAGCGAGGCTTTGTACTTACTCCATATAACAACTATGTAAACGAATGTAATCACGGCTAACGATACTATATATCTCGACTGCTATCGTATTTCTCACGTAGCTGGACGTGTCTCACTGATGAACTCTTGAAAGGGTGAAACCTGTCAATCACCCACGGCCGAACGCGTCCACTAAAGGTTTCCACTCCAAGTCTTCCGGCCAAAGATTGACAGCATCCATTAGTGAGGGAGTTCTACATTACGTATATTTATATTTAATATCACCTAATCCCTGCCAAGGCGGAATTGATGTAGCCTAATGTTCGTCTAAAGGGAACGCTGCACACCGCTGATTACACGCAACTACTGTACAGGACTTCCACTAGTTACAGCCACTGCTATCACTAACGTCTGCTACCCAAGGCCACTAACACCGTAACCAACACCGGCACCAACACGGCCACCCAATACGCCACTAACACCATAACCAACACCATAACCAACACCACCACCCAATACGCCACTAATACCATCACCAACACCATAACCAACACCACCACATTTAATACGCCATTAACACCATAACCACTGCAGCCGCCACCACCACCCAATACGCCACTAACACCATAACCAACACCATAACCAACACCACCACCCAATATGCCACTAACACCATCACCACTGCAGCCGCCACCACCGCCACCCAATACGCCACTAACACCATAACCACCGCCACCGCCACTCACGACCGCCACTGCTTCCTTGACTTCGAAAGATCCAAAAGTTTGTCGCAGAGTCGGCACTTCGCGACGAATCACAGCCACCACCACCGCCACCACCGCCACCACCGCCACCACCACCGCCACCACCACAGCCACTACCACCGCCGCCACCACCACAGCCACTACCACCGCCACCACCGCCACCGCCACCACCACCGCCACTTCTCAACATCTTCACCGTTACCGACGCTGTCACATAAGTGTATCAACCGCTTTAACAATTGCCACCACCATCACCACGATTACGACCGAACACGGCTACCAGCCGCCACTGCCACGCTACTGCTGCTACCCATCATCTTCATCATCACCACGACTACCACTGCCACCGTAACTACCGCTGCCACTAACACCACCTTCACAACCACCACCACCACTGCGAGCCACCGGCTAAACCCTCATCACCGCCAGCGCAACGACCATTGCCACGTAAGTCGTCCGCCCAACATCGTATCCCCTGAACACCACCTGAAGCTACCACCTCGAACGCTGCCAACAACTTCCGCCACGCGATCGTGGCCCCATCGCCACCGCTGCCGCTCAACACGCAACGCTCACCACCGCCGATGCTCAACATCTGAGCGATCGCCAGCACGATCACCTCCATCGCCACCGCTGCAACCCAAACTCAAAACCCTCGCCACCGCCGGCAGAATAACTTTACCACCAGAGTCACCACCAACACGGCTACCATCAGCACCGCCACGGCTATCACCACAGCTACCACTCCAATCGACCGCTGCTACCAACTGAAACCTCACCACCGCTATCACCACCACAGCTGATATCACCCAAACCTACACCACCACCACCACCGGTATCCATCATCGAAGCCCTCACCGCCACTATCACCACCACAGCTGATATCACCCAAACCTACACCACCACCACCACCACCGGTATCCATCGTCGAAGCCCTCACCGTCGCTATCGCCAGCGGACGTGGTCCCGGCGACCGCACTCCGTCAGGGTGGAGACCATGGGCCAGTGCGTGGCGCGCTGCGGCCGCGGCTCGCACCACCACCACCACCAGGGCCACCACCACCACGGCCACCACCAGGGCCACCACCACCAGGGCCACCAGCACCACGCCAACGGCGCGGCCCACAGCGGCGGCGGCAACGGAGCCGCCAAGCCGGGCCGCGGGCCGACGCTCCGCGGCGGAGGCCACTGCCGCCCCGACGCGACCGCCGTGAACTCGGAGGAGGCGCAGAACGGGGCGGGGCCCGTCCGTGCCGCCACCGCCGCCACCGCCACCGCCGCGGGGCCCAAGCGGCGCACCAGCTGGCTGGGGGACGTGGTGGGGGGCGTCGTGGGGGGCAGCTGCGTGGGGGCCGGCTGCCCGCTGGGGAACGCCGGAGAGCACGGATACGGGGGCGGTGGAGGTGGCGGGTGAGTGAAGGTGGTACCCCCCCCCACCTCCCCCGCACCCCCCCGCACCCCCCCACGTACCCCCACACCCCCCCCACCTCCCCCTGCACCCCCCCCCCGCACCCCCCCCCCGCACCCCCCCCCTCCGCACCCCCCCACCTCCCCCGCACCCCCCACGTCCCCCCGCACCCCCCACGTCCCCCCGCACCCCCCCACCTTCCCCCGCACCCCCCACGTCCCCCGCACCCCCCCACCTTCCCCCGCACCCCCCCCCACCTCCCCCCGCACCCCCCCACGTACCCCCGCACCCCCCCACCTTCCCCCGCACCCCCCCCACCTCCCCCCGCACCCCCCCCACCTCCCCCCGCACCCCCCCACGTACCCCCGCACCCCCCCACCTTCCCCCGCACCCCCCCACCTTCCCCCGCACCCCCCCACCTCCCCCCACGTCCCCCCGCACCCCCCCCACGTACCCCCCCACCTCCCCCGCACCCCCCCACGTACCCCCACACCCCCCCCTCACCTCCCCCCGCACCCCCCCACCCCCGCACCCCCCCACGTCCCCGCACCCCCCTCACCTCCCCCTGCACCCCCCATGTCCCCCCGCACCCCCCACCTCCCCCCGCTCCCCCCCCCCCCACCTCCCCCCGCACCCCCCCACCCCCGCACCCCCCACGTCCCCCCGAGCTCTAAATACTCTGATAGTGCGCTGTCTTTGAGTTGTGCGCCTTTTGGCGTCATCTGGTCCAACACCAGTGGAAACTAGGCTCTAAGAAAAGCTATCTCGGGTGTGGACCAATCAACTTCAAGGACAGCGCATATCATCACCATCAGAGTTGTTTCTTTTTGTTTGCATTTTGACTGCTTGTGTTGTGGTCATTGCAAACATGATGCCTTGTATAAAGGTGTCAGTTTTTGTACCAGTTGAGAGGGTAAAAACCTATTATTATATTTTGCCACTGGTAAAGGAGGTCTCATAGTGTACATTTTTAATCCTATTCCTGCGTGTATTGTCGAGGCTGATTATTGGATCTTTCCACTTAGTGCCACTCTCGATGGTGGTAATAAAACAATAATGATATAAAACATTAATGTTGCCAGCGCAGTGAAATCAGATGGGTTTCATGCGGGCAGTTAATTATTTAAAGCTTACGTGATGTGCATGCATCGTGGGGTCGCGCACGGAGTGCATTGGGAGCTACGGGAGAGATCAGTGGAATCGGCTCGCGTGCGGCTCCTGGATGATGACGACGACGACGGTGAACGTGGTGGTAATCCCACCCTGGTGAAAAAACTAAACAACGAAAACTTACGGCACTTTTCCCAACAAATAAGTCGTAGCGCACGGGACACCGACAAATAGTGCGCAAAAACGGCGTTTAGAATTTTACTCTTGCCGAGCAGAAATAATCCAATTAATATGTACAGAGAGCACCTCCACTGAAGGCGCTCTATGTGATTAATGTCACCAATTCATTGGCTCGTTTCTCAGTCCGCTTGGCCTGGCGAGGGTCGCGGCGGCAGCGTGCTGAGTACGGCAGTCCCAGACCTGCCTGTCCCTGGCGACGGGCTCTACTACACTATACACTACTACACTATACACTACACTACTACACTATACACTACTACACTACTATACACTACTACACTATACACTACACTACTACACACTACTATACACTACACTACTACACTATACACTACACTACTATACACTACTACACTATACACTACTACACTATACACTACACTACTTTACACTACACTACTATACACTACTACACTATACACTACACTACTATACACTACTACACTATACACTACTACACTATACACTACACTACTATACACTACTACACTATACACTACACTACTACACACTACTATATACTACACTACTACCTATACACTACACTACTATACGCTACTACACTACTATACACTACACTACTATACACTACTACACTACACTATACACTACTATACACTACACTATACACTACACTACTATACACTACACTACTATACACTACACTACTATACACTACTACACTACTATACACTACACTACTATACACTACTACACTACTATACACTACTACACTACTATACACTACTACACTACTATACACTACACTACTACACTACTATATACTATACACTACTACACTACTATACACTACTACACTACTATACACTACACTACTATACACTACACTACTATACACTACTACACTACTATACACTACTATACACTACACTACTATACACTACACTACTATACACTACTACACTACTATACACTACACTATACACTACTACACTACTATACACTACACTACTATACACTACACTACTATACACTACACTACTATACACTACTACACTATACTACTACACTACTATACACTACACTACTATACACTACTACACTACTATACACTACACTACTATACACTATACACTACTATACACTACACTACTATACACTACTACACTATACTACTACACTACTATACACTACACTACTATACACTACTACACTACTATACACTACACTACTATACACTACTACACTACTATACACTACACTACTATACACTACTACACTACTATACACTACTACACTATACGCGGTGTGTGTGTGAATCGAGCACGCCGAATGGAATCGTGCGCGGAGCAACTCGAGTTTCACCCTCGACATGCAGAATCAACGTCACGCACTTCGGAGCGTTTGGCTGCTGTAAGTGTCCACGTGATAAGCCACTTCGCTGAGCTGCCGTTTGTGGCCCGAGCTGTGCAGCTCAGTGGGCCTCACCTGGTAACATTTTATTTCTAATAAAAAAAAGTTTATAGTTTGAATAGTTTCAAAGCCAGCAGCACCGATGAAGGCCGGCAACGAAGGCGTTGCCGGCCTTCATAGGTGCTCCTGGCTATAAAACTATTCAAACGATAAACTTTGTGGGCGGCCAGCACCACGCCCGGCCGCCTTTGCCTCCGCAGCAGCGATGATTTTACACACCGCACCAGGTATTAATTTGAGGCTGAGTGGACCTAGGTGAGGCCCAGGACCGGTTCAGATAATCGTAGCCATTGTTGTTGATCCACCGCACCTCCGATTAGCACGGTCGGCTACGTACGGTGCGAAAGAAGTTCAACGTAGGCAGCTGTGAGCAGGAATCGAACTCGGGTCGCTCTGTTCGTCGCGCGGTACGCCGAGTACTCCACGCTGCCGCCCCACACTACTGGAGACACGGGGCGGCGTAACGCGACAACGAGACACGTGGCGGCGTAACGCGACAACGAGACACGTGGCGGTGTAACGCGACAGCGAGTCACGTGACGGGAGAGAGAGAGAGCCACAGGAGATTGTGGGTGGTCCGGACGGGAGTGAGTGATGTGAATCCTTATTCTCCTCCACCCTGCCCACCCACCCACCCCACCCCACCCTACTCACCCACCCCACCTCACCCTACCCACCCACCCCACCCCACCCCACCCCACCCTACCCCACCCCACCCTACCCTACCCACCTCACCCTACCCACCCCACCCTACTCACCCACCCACCCCACCCTACCCACCCACCCACCCCACCCCACCCTACCCACCTCACCCTACCCACCCCACCCTACTCACCCACCCACCCACCCCACCCCACCCTACCCACCCACCCACCCCACCCCACCCTACTCACCCACCCCACCCCACCCTACCCACCCACCCCACCCCACCCCACCCCACCCTACCCACCCACCCACCCACCCACCCCACCCCACCCCACCCACCCACCCCACCCCACCCCACCACCCACCCCACCCCACCCTACCCACCCACTCCACCCCACCCTACCCACCCACCCCACCCCACTCAACCACCCCACCCATCCTACCCACCCACCCCACCCCACCCATCCTACCCACCCACCCACGCCGAGTGAGCAGGGTCCAAGAGCGCCGCGTGGAGGAGCTGTTCCGGCGCTACCGCGACGAGCGCGACGATGCGGTGCTGGAGGAGGGCGTGCAGAGGCTGTGCCACGACCTGGGCTCCGAGCCCGCCGACTTCACCGCCCTGGCGCTCGCGTGGAAGTTCAACGCCTGCACCGACTGCCAGTTTACGAGGTGCGGGCCGGCTGTGTCAGGGGGGGGGGCGGTGAGCTATGAGGCTCTTTCCCCTTCCCCCACGGAGGCATCCAGTAATTCTTGCAGGTGTCCAGGAAGTTTTTTTTTTTCCACGAGGAGGTTCATGAAAGGGCCTCCCTTCATGGCTTCATGAAGGGAGGTCCGAAAGGGAGGTCCAAAAGCAAGATCTGGAAGGGAGGTTCGGAAGGAATTTCTCAAGGAAGGATCAGAAGGGAGGTCCCTAATGAAGGATCAGAATGGAGGTTCGGAAGGAATTTCTCAAGGAAGGATTGAAATGGAGGTTCGGAAAGGAGGTCTGGAAGGGAGGTCTGGAAGGAGGTATGGAAGGAGGTATGGAAGAAAGATCTGGAAGGGAGGTTCGGAAGGGAGGCCTGGAAGGATCTTGGGAAAGGTCGAAGGGCACAGAAAGGACGATGCTGTCCGATGACTCCCAAGAAAGGTTTCGGTTGGGAGGCGGGAGTGAAATGAAGAGAGATCAAGATCGGAGAGGATGGAGGGGACCTTGTTTGGACCAAGGACCGGCCATCGAGCGGCCGCAGAAAACTAAAGACGATAAATGAATCTGTTCATTCATTTGAGCGGTTGTTGTCATTGCTGCTGCTGCCATCTGTCAGGTAGTCGCAACACAAATGCCGGTGATCGTGCAAACAATCTCAAATCAATAACCAACATCGACTTACGGTGGAGGCTCGTGAAGGACGCTGCTGGGACGTTGGAGGCAGTCGCCCTCCAGCAACGGAGGGCGACACATCAGCGAGCGGAGCGCCGGGCAGATAAAACAGCACTGTAGGCGGCACAGGCGGTGGTGCATCTGCCGGTCATCTCAGTCAGTCAACCCATGGCACCTGCCGGGTCTGTCCCGTGACCTCCTGCTGCCAGCAGCGAGCTTTCGACACTTCACGTGGCCTGGTAGTGCACCTAGCCTGGCACAGGCGCCGTGGTGACGTCACCATCACTTAGTGGGGAATGGCGGCTGTTGTTGTTGTAGAGGTGAGCCCACTGCGCTATGAACCCTCGAGTTTGAAGCCCGCTCACAGCCAAATCAGTGGTGGATATCTCAACTGTTCCTGGTTCTCTCCTAGGTCGACTCGGCCTCAAATTGATTACCTGCTGAGGCGTGTAAATATCGGCGTTGTGCTGGCAACACGATCTTCCCGGGAGTCATGCCATGCTTAATAGGCGCTCGCTAACGCCACTTGCCCCAACAGTCCGCGAGTGTCACGTGTCTGTTGTGTGTGTCTGTGTGGGGAGCGGTGGTGTCGTCGGTTAGCGTTACACTGCGCTACGAACCCGGCGACCCGAGTTCGATTCTCGCTCACGGCCAACACCACGTGGCAATTATCTGAACCGGGCCTGGGCCTCCCATAGGTCGGTGTGTAAACATCGCCACTCGGAAGACAAAGGCGGCCGGGCGTAATGTTGGCCACCCACTCCCTCGTGTGTCGTGCCAGCCTTCATAGGTGCTGCTACTCGCTCACCGCAGTCTGTTCATGCCACACGGAGGAGGTTCTTTGTCTTTGTGTAGCTGTCTCTGTAACTTTCTCTACCCCATCTTTCTTTCATTTATGTCACTCTCCACCCCTCCGATTCTATTCTGTACCTCTTGTGTCTCTCTTACTCATACTCTTAGTTCTTTCGGTAAAGTCACGTAGGTAAAAAAAAATTAAATTAAAATTAATAAAAATAAAATAATAAACTCACGACGTTTCGGAGGCAACACAAGTCTCCGTCATCAGGTGGGACCGTCACAGCCAGATTTGCTGCATCAAGTGAGGCAGGGATTCAAGATGCAAGCTCTTAAATACAAGTTCAGGAGGAGGAGAGGGGGGAGGAGCTTATCAGAATGTGATAGCCAATGAATGGAACGTATTGGGAGGTCTCTCTCTCTCTCACCTGTGCATCTCGCTGTCCACCCCCGCACCTCCGATCAGCACGGTTTTCTTCGTACGGTGCGAAATAAGTGCAACATACATACCACTCTACACTCCTGTACATTACACTACTATACAGTACACTATACACTACAATATACACAACACTACTATACACTAATCTATATACACTCCGATTAGCACGGTTGTCTATGTATGGTGTGAAAGAAGTTCAGCATACGTACGTAGAATCTGTGTATCTACCTATCACCTCCCTCTGCTCTATCCATTTCTCTCTCCCCAATCCACCTCATTCTGTTAATCGCTCTCCTCCGCTCCGCTCCGCAGGTCTCTCTTTCACCTCCCCGTGCCTCTCACTTGCGTCGCATCTCATCTCTCCTTCCACTCTCAACCTTTCTGTATCTTCTTTCTCCCATCGGTCGCTTTTTCTCCACTACCCTTTCCGTTCCCCTCTGTTCCAGTCTCTCCCTTCTCTTTTTTTTACGATCAGAGGAAACAAGAAGATGCTCGGTGTAGTCGGCACTTTGCTTCGTTCATCATTTCGTAATTTTTTTTTTTTATTACATTTTTAAACTTTGCTTTATGTAAACCCCCACCTCTCGCTCACTCTCTCGCTCACTCTCTCGCTCTCTCTCGTTCTGCACGCAGCCCCTCTCGCAGTCCGACGGCCTCCGACGGGTAGCTCATATCAGCATGCAGAGCTCTCCGTCATCTGCCACCGAGCACACGGCCTCCTCCAGCGCCCACTGCTCCTTGAAGGCCGTCTCTCCACTCTTTCTCCCTGTCCCCCCATGCCCCTCTCTACCCTTGGTTCCTTTCTTTCCTTGTGTCTCCCTCCCCTCTGTGTCTCACCTCCGTGTCTCTCTCTCCCCTCTGTCTTTCTCCCCTCTCCGTCTCTCTCCCCTCTCTCTTCTCTCCATCTCTCTCCCCTCTGTGTCTCTCTCTCCCCTCTGTCTCTCTCCCTTATGTCTCTTCTCTCCATCTCTCTCCCACACTGTCTCTCTCCTGTCTCTCCTTCCCCCACCTCTCTACCCTCTGCCTCGCTCCTCTCGTTCTCGTCCTCCTCCTACCCCCCCCCCCCCCCCCCACCAAACAGAGCCGAGTTTTTTTCTGGCTGCCGCTCCATGCGTGCCGACAGCCTCCGCTCGCTGCGCTCCCGGCTGCCCGACCTCTTCTCCGACCTCCGGCACGAGGACTCCTTCCGCGACTTCTACCGCTACGCCTTCCACCTGGGTCTCGCGGCCGCCGACGCCGACGCGGCCGCCGCCGCCGACGCCGCGGCGGCCGCGTCGTCGGCGGCCGCGTCCTCGGCGGACCCCGGCCGGCGGCGGCGCTGCGTGCCGCTGGGGGCGGCGGCGGAGCTGTGGCGGCGCGTCTACGCTCGCGACGGCCCCCCGCTGCTCGGCCTGTGGCTGCTCTTCCTGGGCGAGAACCCGGGGGGCGTGCGCGGAGTGTCGCGCGACACCTGGCTCATGTTCCCCAGCTTCGCGCACGCCGCGGGGCCCGACCTGGCCGGCTACGCCGAGGACGAGGCCTGGCCCAGCCTCTTCGACGCGTTCGCCGAGTGGGCGCGGGGACGCGACGGGCGGGACCGGCCACGCGGCGCCGAGGGGGGCGACGGAGGAGACGGAGGCGACGACGGGGCGGGGGAGGGGAGGGACGCGGAGGAGGAGGAGGGCGGCGCCAGGAGGGAGAAGAGGGGTGGCCGCTCTTGCCGTCCGCGGGGCGGGGAGGAGGCGAGGGGGGGGGCGACGCCGTGGGCCTGCGTGGAGAGACGCAGCGCCGCCGGGGAAGCGGCCGCCCACGACGGATGAGGCTCGGCGCCGGCGGCGTCCTGTACCGGATACGATGCGGACGCCTCGAGCGATGGTCGGCGACGACGACGACGACTGTGTGAACGCCGAGAAGTGAAGAGCAAACAGAGAGCGAAAGAGGGGGCCAATTGGTGAGGCGGTGGAGGCGCCGTTGGCCGTAGGGTTACGGCGAGTGCGAGCCGGTTGTTGGCTTGTGCCTGGTTAGAGGTAGGGCCGGTACTCGGGATGCACTGGCTAGTTGGGGATATTACGAGTGGCAGGTTGGCTCGTTATGTTTAGAGTGATCTGGTGTGGTGGGGTGTAGGGCTCAGTACGAGTAATTTACCCGCTCATTGGTTATCAGCGTGTGAAGTTGTGCAATATTTAAATGCGATCGAAAAGACGCTGTTTCACAGAGAGAGAGGCGGTCAGTCGCAGGCAGAGGGACAGAAAAAACAATGGAAAGGCTTTCGGCCTAGGCTTGAGCAGGGGGGGCCAAAGGGATTTCAAGAGGAGGAGGAGGCAAAGCCTCGTGACGTCGGCCATCACGAGTGCGCACGTGGCCGGAGGGAGTCCCAGACCTCGGGGGCCAGCAGCGGAGAAGGAGCTCACTCCAGAGCCAAAGTGGGAAACGGCAGGAGGGGGCAGAACAGCTTTTGGCTCGTCGCCTGGGAGGCTGGAGACTCAATGTCAGGGTTGAGTCGGAGAGGTTTGTTCAGTGCACTGTCCTCCACAAACCCTTTGACCCCTTTCCACCCCATTACGAGGGACCCCCCCCCACCCCCCGCTACTCCCCCTTCAAGTTTCCGGTGTTCACAGCTTCCCCACGTCCTGCCGGACGGGTGAGTGTCATGGTTGACGGAGCGAGGCTCTTTGGAAGAGACGCCGTTACCGGAAACATGACCACGTGGTTTTGACGCCCAAATCGCCCTCGCCGATGTGATGCGCTGCACGCGGGTGACACCGATTCGTCGGCATGGTGGCGAAAGCACCTAAGCGATCGCACCGGCCGCCCGTTAGCATCCAGTGTGAGAAATGCGTTGCCGTGGTGTGACGTGTCGCTGTGATTGGACCATCGAAGGATCGCCAAGGCGACGTGTCGCTGTGATTGGACCATCGAAGGATCGCCAAGGCGACGTGTCGCTGTGATTGGACCATCGAAGGATCGCCATGGTGACGTGTCGCTGTGATTGGACCATCGAAGGATCGCCAAGGCGACGTGTCGCTGTGATTGGACGAGCAAAGTATCACCAAGGCGACGTGTCGCTGTGATTGGACCATCGAAGGATCGCCAAGGCGACGTGTCGCTGTGATTGGACCATCGAAGGATCGCCAAGGTGATGTGTCGCTGTGATTGGACGAGCAAAGTATCACCAAGGCGACGTGTCGCTGTGATTGGACCATCGAAGTATCACCAAGGCGACGTGTCGCTGTGATTGGACCATCGAAGGATCGCCAAGGTGACGTGTCGCTGTGATTGGACGAGCAAAGTATCACCAAGGCGACGTGTCGCTGTGATTGGACCATCGAAGGATCGCCAAGGCGACGTGTCGCTGTGATTGGACCATCGAAGTATCACCATGGCGACGTGTCGCTGTGATTGGACCATCGAAGGATCGCCAAGGTGACGTGTCGCTGTGATTGGACCATCGAAGTATCACCAAGGCGACGTGTCGCTGTGATTGGACCATCGAAGGATCGCCAAGGTGACGTGTCGCTGTGATTGGACCATCGAAGTATCGCCAAGGCGACGTGTCGCTGTGATTGGACCATCGAAGGATCGCCAAGGTGACGTGTCGCTGTGATTGGACGAGCAAAGTATCACCATGGTGATGTGTCGCTGTGATTGGACGAGCAAAGTATCACCAAGGCGACGTGTCGCTGTGATTGGACCATCGAAGTATCACCATGGCGACGTGTCGCTGGGATTGGATTTTGTTATCGAAGGAAGGCGACGGGCATCTCCTCGATTTCGAGGAACGTTCGTTTCGGTTTCCCACGACACGCCGCGCGGACAGCAAGTTGCGGAAACTCTGCGGACGCTTTTTGATTTGACAAACAAGAGCGACCTTGTCATTGACAAAGAGCTTCTCAGCTCTTCAGATTCCTCCTGCCGTGCATCCCGAACGCCTCCACGCCGTCGCCGCCTCGCCAGTCACTCCAACGTGCTGCCGACGTGTTGGTGAGTTCCCTGGTTGTTAATCCATAGTCATTACAATTTGTTTTTAATGTTTTACGTTCATCATCATTATTATTATTACGTTTCTTCTTAGTTCTTTCGGTAAAGTCACGTAGAAGGGAAATAATAAAATAATAAAAATAAAACATTATTAAATAATTCTCACGACGTTTCGGCCACAATGCAAGCAGCCGTCCTCAGGTGGAGAACAAGGCTGTCGGAAAGTCATTCAGACGCTGTCTTTCCGACATACCTGTTCTTCACCTGAGGACGGCTGCTTGCGTTGTGGCCGAAACGTTGTGAGAATTGTATTTTATTATGTTATATTTTTTTATTATATTATTATTTCCCTTCTACGTGACTTTACCGAAAGAACCAAGAAGATGAATCCCTGCAGTCACGAAAGCTTTAAATTGAAATTGTTATTTTTGTATTGTGAGAAGTGATACGTAGGCGGGTGTACAGGGCGCTTCAAGAAAAAAGTTTCAAACACTTCTGAGAATTTGCGACGACACCACCACGAGAGTTGTGCTGACTGCGAGCTCTGGAGACCACCTGGGGAAGATTCCAGGCACGCGCGTCGACAACGACGGCGATCGAGTGGGAGAGACGCTTTGACTTTGTGAATCTATCAGCGTTACATTCGTTATCCGTTCTTGTCCCATCGAAAACGATGGTTCCATCTAAGTGTGAACATTTTTTTGAAGCGCCCTGTATATTCGCGGGTCCGGGAGGAAGGTCGCATTCCTCATTTCCCACATTCAATGAGGGGGACACTGCCTCCCGGTGGTTCCGCTCTCGGCGCGCAACACAATTTGCCGTTCCCTCGCCCGGTCGATTCCTTTGACGTTTCAATGAACGCTCAACGGCAGCCGACGGCCAAAGATCGCGCGGATCGGAGCCCCGACGGGCGTGGGATCTTAGAGGCTACGCGGTCTCCTGCCCCGGCTGGCGGTGCCGCGCTGGTGGCCGCGCTGGTGGCCGCGCTGGTGGCCACGCTGGTGGCCGCGCTGGTGGCCGCGCTGGTGGCCACGCTGGTGGCCACGCTGGTGGCCGCGCTGGTGGCCGCGCTGGTGGCCACGCTGGTGGCCACGCTGCACCGCGTGGGCACCAGCGCTCGTCAGAGGTCGCAACCGGGTACCCGATACCCGGCTACCCGTACCCGGCCGGTTACGGGTACCCGTTGGCGACCCTGGTGCGGCCGGGTACGGGTAGGCCGTGAGCCACTGGTGAGTCACCGTTTGTAACTTATTTCCCAACGCCTTGTCTCTTCTAACAATTCAAGTTCCTAGAATCAACCCACCCGCGCCTGCAACATGGCTTCATCCCAGAGGTCGCAATCAGGTACCCGATACCCGTACCCTAACCGTACCCGGCGGGGTACGGGTAGGGTACGGGTACGGGTAGGGTACGGTCGGGTACGGGTACGGGTACCCGTTTGCGACCCTGGTGCGACCGGGTACGGGGGGTAAGGAATCAAAACCCGTTTGCGACCTCTGGCGCTCGTGCTCTGCTCACGCGGCGGGGAGCGGTGGCGCAGCGGTCGGCGCAGCGTCCGCGCCACCGAACCCGATGGCGAGCCGAGTTCGGTTCCCAGCTCACGGCCGCCAACGGCGGTGACGGCGATTGTCTGAACCAGTCCTGGGCCTCCGCCCCTAGGTCGACTCGGCCTCAAGTGAGTAGCTGGTGCGGTGCGTGAACATCGCCGCTGGGGGAGACATAGGCGGCCGGGCGTGGTGTTGGCCACCCACCCCCTCGTGTGCCGTGCCGGTCTTCATAGGTGTTACTCGCTAACAGCACTTGCCCCTACAGTCTGTTACAGGCTACGCGGGGGATCTTTGTCTTTCTGCGCCCACTTCTGTGCTCCCCACTGAGATGCAGTCGAAAAGCCCCCCGCAGTCGAATAGCCCCCCGCAGTCGAATAGCCCCCCGCAGTCGAATAGCCCCCCGCAGTCGAATAGCCCCCCGCAGTCGAATAGCCCCGTCTTGGTGGTGCGCTTCGCTTGACGAACTTTTTGTTGCTGTTCGTGAAACGAAATCTGTACAAGAAAGAGGGAGAGAGAGTGAAAAAAAGTTCACATTCTTTTTCTAATTACTGAAATCAGCCGGAAGGCGGGAGAGACGCCGCTGTCATCCTTCTTGGACTAACTCCCCCGCTCTGTGCAGGTCACAGCGCCGGGCCTACGACCAGAACGCGACCGCCCGCTCCCCGCGAGATCACTGGGGCCATCCCGGCGCTGACTGGCGTGGCGGAGTGCGGAGTGCGTCCTGCGTGACTGGTGCGGGGCGTGGGGGGAGCGCCTCGTCCAGCGGTTGGGATGGGCGGGCGGTTGATCGCGGCCGCCTCTGCCGACGGCGATTCCGCCGACGTCGCCGTCGATTCGGCGCGAGAGAATTCCTAACGACGCCTTCGAAGGAAATCAGTCACTGCCGTCGCCGCCGCCTCCGCCGCTGGAGCAGGAGGCGGCGGCGTGAGTAATCAGACGTCGCAACTCCGAAAAAATACCAAATGCAGGAATTGCGTCACGTCGCATGGCTCGGTGCCTCTGAAAGCACGAGGTACCACTCGCCGCGAACCAGTTGACCGCTGGAACGTTACCCTGTAACGTTACCCTGTAACGGACTAACTCCCCCTGTAACGTTACCCCCCCTCCTCCACCCGCTCCGGCCGGCAGTGGCTCCGTGGCCGGCACGCCGGTGCCCGTCAGCACCGCTTCGGCAGCGGCCCCCACCGCCTGGTGACCCCCACCACCTGGTGACCACCTGGTGACCCGCACCGCCTGGTGGCTCGCACCGCCTGGTGGCCACCTGGTGACCCGCACCGCCTGGTGGCTCGCACCGCCTGGTGACCACCTGGTGACCCGCACCGCCTGGTGGCACGCATCTTCGTGCGCGTGGGGAGGGGGTGGTGGGCATCTGATAAACAATCATCGTGGGACGAAGCCCTCAGCCAAAAAAACACAGAACACACAGCCACACACACACACAGCCACACACACACACAGCACACACACAGCACACACACACAGCACACACACAGCACACACAGCACGCACACAGCACACACACAGCACGCACACAGCACACACACAGCACACACAGCACACACAGCACGCACACAGTACGCACACAGCACACACACACACACAGTACGCACACGGCATGCACACAGCACGCACACAGTACACACACCGTACGCACACACACACACAAAAAGCACTTTAGGTGGAGCGTCTGTGGAGTAGAAACCGATCAAACTGCTCACTCTAATCAAAGGACTGCGAAAATATAAACTTTGGAAGATTTTACAAGCTGTATACACACACACAAAAAGCTACAATATGCTATTTATGTGTTAATTGCGTTCAAGAAGATGAATGTTATTGCTGCGAATGAAAGTGGTGCCAGTTACATTATTTTGAGTTGACTCTACGCGCTGCAAGAGAAGATGGACGATGAAGAAGTGGGTGGGTGAGTGGGTGGGTGGGTGGGTGAGTGGGTGGGTGGGTGGGTGAGTGGGTGGGTGAGTGGGTGGGTGGGTGGGTGAGTGGGTGGGTGGGTGGGTGAGTGGGTGGGTGGGTGGGTGAGTGGGTGGGTGAGTGGGTGGGTGGGTGAGTGGGTGAGCGGGTGAGCGGGTGGGCGAGTGGGTGAGCGGGTGGGCGAGTGGGTGGGCGGGTGGATGAGTGGGTGGGTGGTTGAGTGGGGGAGTAGGTGGGTGAGTGGGTGAGCGGGTGAGCAGGTGGGCGAGTGGGCGGGTGAGTGGGTGGATGGATGGGTGGGTGAGTGGGTGGGTGGGTGGGTGGGTGAGTGGGTGAGTGAGTGAGTGAGTGGGTGAGTGAGTGAGTGAGTGGGTGGGTGAGTGGGTGGGTGGGTGGGTGAGTGAGTGGGTGGGTGAATGAGTGTGTTAGCAGGTGGGTTAACTGGCCTTTACCCCCTGCCTAGTTCTGGTCGTATACCCTGCAGGTTCTGAGCGAGCGGGTGAGCGAGTTGGTGCGAGCGGGTGAGCGAGTTGGTTAGCGAGGGGGTGAGCGGGTCGATGAGCGGGTGAGCAGACAAGCGGATGAGTGAGCTGCTGAGCGAGCAGGCGGGGTGGACGGCCACCGCCGCCACCGCACCATGAAAGTTATTTTCCCCAGGCTCTCCACCGATGGATTTTGAAAAAGAAAATCGAAGATTTGACTGTTTAAACGCTCCGTGATCGGCTGCACCTTCGAGGTCCGTCACAACGTCCGGCGAACAACAAAGTTGAGACCAGATTTGAAGCTTTCGTGACTGCAAGGATGCGTACTCTTAGGTTTTTTCTGTAAAGTCACGTAGGTAAAAAATAAAAATAATATCAAGTAAGTACAGCTATCGTGCTGTGACGGTTCCACCTGAAGACGGAAGCTTGTGTTGCCTCCGAAACGTCGTGATTTTTATTTTATTTTGTATTTTACTTTATTAATTTAATTTTTTTACCTACGTGGCTTTACCGAAAAAACCTAAGAATAGTCATCAGAACTCTTGTTTTTGGACTGCTGGCGGAATCCGACGGGCTCTGAAACTGTCATGTTCACAGATGTCCAGTAGGGGGCGCGGGGACAGAGAGTTACAGCGACGAACACGACAAACTCACGATGGGCGTGCCAGGTGTAGGAAAGGTGAACAAATCGTGAACAAAAATATAAAAACAATTAAACTAAACCATGTTTTATCTTACCAGATGAAGCCCACCGAGGTATTAGCTTATTTTTCAGCAACGACCTGACCATCACAAATGATGATGGCTCAACGAAGTGGCTTCATCATCAGCATAATCATCATCACGTGGACATTTATAGCGTCACACCGCGTGTATTGGAGAGCAAAACCAGGCAACATTTACAATTGGAGTTGACGATGTTTTGTTCACGTGACAAACCTCGCGAATTGGCTGTGGAGGGCCGTGATGTGGTGCCTTGGGACACATTTCCCGAGACTTAACCCCCAACAAGCATGACGTCTTATCGGTCGTTTAAAGGCGCGACCAACCCCCCCCCGACCTCCTGCATCATACCAGGCGACGTAGTCAACATCTAGCCACCGAGGCGCCCGCAAACAAATGATTACGGTACAAAATTGGAAAAGGAAGCGGCAATTTGTGCCGGGGTCGTGGTTCAAAATCGTCCAAATGTGTAAAGCCACCGTGCGGTGCTCACGAACGGCCTCCTGCGGTCACAACTTGGAGTAATCCTCCTGATACAAAAATAAGTAATAAAAAAAAACTTTTTAAAACACGCTTTTATGAAATGTGCTAGTAATGGAAGAACTCCACAACTCCAGGAAGTGGCCCCGAAGCTTGCCACAACGTAAGGGGCCGTGGCCAATTACAGCCAACGTCAGTTGACCGTGGACAATTAGACCCAAGTCGAAACATAACATATAAAAAATAATGTTTATATTTTTATATTTTAATGATAGAATATAGTATTGTCATCAGTATGACATAAGTATACCAAGTTTGCAGTTGATACTACATTGGGAAGTGGGTTAAAACTGAGTTACAAGATTTGACGATACAACAACGACAACGACAACAACAACAGACAGAGTGAGTTAAAATAACTACAGCATCCACCATATTGGTTTTGTTGGCGTTGGAGCGCGTAAGTTTCAATGTGCGGCTAAAGCCACCACCACCCGGCACACAGACAATCAGTAAGGGGTTGTCACGTGAACAAGACGTGCCAATTCGTCACTAGTACAGCACTCACCGGTTGTGTGGTGGAGAGTAACCCCACAACAACATTTACTATCATAGTGTAGTGTATAGTGTAGTGTATAGTGCAGTATACTAGTACAGCACTAGTGTATAGTGTAGTGTGTAGTATAGTGTAGTGTATAGTGTAGTGTATAGTGTAGTGCATAGTGTAGTGTATAGTGTAGTGTATAGTGTAGTGTATAGTGTAGTATACCAGTACAGCACTAGTGTATAGTGTAGTGTGTAGTGTAGTGTATAGTGTAGTGTATAGTGTAGTATATAGTGTAGTATACTAATTCAGCACTCACCGGTCGTGACGTTTCGCCAGTAAATACAACAACAACAAGCCTCATCAGGCGATTAGCCAGAATTGTGGAGAAATCCTCAAGAAAACTTCGTATCTATCATTAAAACAAGTTAAAATATAAACAAAAACACGCTCTATATTTAAGCACTGCATTTCAGGAGGGCCCTACATTGGGATGTTTGGACAATTCATTGTTGAGGTAAGCGTCTGGTATTTTTGTAAGCAATGCTCAGTACCCGGACGAAGAATAAAAAAAAGACCCCAGCACGCACGCGAGGGGAATAACACCGATGAAAGTTCGACGTAGTTTTAGCGATCCCACTTGCTGTACTGCCATCTCCCTGCAACCTCCCGCGTCATGTGAGCCACCAAACCCAGGCGGGCCCCACCGAGTGAATGACCGAATGAACGAGCGAGCGATTGAGCGAGCGATCGAGCGAGTGAATGAATTTGCGACTGAAGGAAGGGCTATGGAAGGATGTTGGCTGGCCTTGTCACGGTGCATGCTGCCGTCGTTTTTGACTCTTTAAAGTGCAATACGCTCTCCCGTGCCCCACTGCATGCAGCGATGCAAACCAAACAACAATGTATGTACGTACGCGTGTGTATGTACCTGTTGTGTAACGCGCACAACGAACACGGGAAATACATTGCGTTGCATACTGAACACGGTGCCTTGGGTGGTCTTTGAGCGGCCGTCAAATCGCAAATGCAGGAACGCTTCTACATATGAACATTCGACTTACGAACTCTCAGAGATACGAACAAACCTGTCCGTATGTCCAGTTGCCTGTTCGGACAGAGAGTCGTAAGTTCAACCGCCGCGCAACAGATGGCGGTGGTGGCATCTACATCTACAGAACGTGAAGAACCAGTGGCATCTACAGAACGTGAAGAACCAGTGGCATCTACAGAACGTGAAGAACCAGTGGCATCTACATCTACACAACGTGAAGAACCAGTGGCATCTACATCTGCAGAACGTGAAGAACCAGTGGCATCTACATCTACACAACGTGATGAACCAGTGGCATCTACATCTGCAGAACGTGATGAACCAGTGGCATCTACATCTACACAACGTGAAGAACCAGTGGCATCTACATCTGCAGAACGTGAAGAACCAGTGGCATCTACATCTGCAGAACGTGAAGAACCAGTGGCATCTACATCTGCAGAACGTGAAGAACCAGTGGCATCTACATCTGCAGAACGTGAAGAACCAGTGGCATCTACATCTACACAACATGAAGAACCAGTGGCATCTACATCTACACAACGTGAAGAACCAGTGGCATCTACATCTACAGAACGTGAAGAACCAGTGGCATCTACATCTGCAGAACGTGAAGAACCAGTGGCATCTACATCTGCAGAACGTGAAGAACCAGTGGCATCTCCATCTGCAGAACGTGAAGAACCAGTGGCATCTACATCTGCAGAACGTGATGAACCAGTGGCATCGACATCTGCAGAACGTGAATAACCAGTGGCATCTACATCTACAGAACGTGAACCAGTGGCATCTGCATCTACAGAACGTGAACCAGTGGCATCTACATCTGCAGAACGTGAAGAACCAGTGGCATCTACATCTGCAGAAGGTGAAGAACCAGTGGTATCTACATCTGCAGAACGTGAAGAACCAGTGGCGTCTACATCTGCAGAACGTGAAGAATCAGTGGTATCAGCAGAACGTGAAGATTCAGCGGGAGCTACAGCTACAGGAGATGATACAATGTTTAAAGTTATTCCCGCGTGTTGAATGTACACGCCGGACAACGTGTTTGGAATGGACAGGAGTCAAGTTGGACTTTGCAGTTGGCGGTCTACATGACAAAAGTTACCAAAGTGTCAGTTCCTTTGAGTTGGTGGTCTGGATAAAGTTGAGAGCGGTAGCAGTTCACTGCATTCAGCGCCCGCCCTGATTATGACTGCGGGTGAAACGAGTCTCTACTCTTTGGGTCTTTCGGTAAAGTCACGTAGATAGACAAATAACAGATCACGACGTTTCGATCGCAACACAGGCGATCGTCTTCAGGAGAGAGATAGACAAAGCTACTGCATGAAGGCCTTGTGTAGGCCTGAGATGGGAGGTCCCTCAGGGTAAGAGGGCGGGGCTAGAGACGGTCTCCCTGAGCCCGTGGAAGTGGCCATTGTATTGTGCGATATTCGCAGGTAACACATCTAATCGTATTATTACAATAATAATATAACAATTATAGTGCCACCTATTCACAGTGCACCTTCAAGGTCTAGGGGCCGTCCATAAATGACGTCACGCGATTTTGGACTATTTTTGAACCCCCCCCCCTCGTCACACGGCGTCACAAAAAGTCAGACCCCCCCCCCCTCAAATATGATGTCACAAAGCTATGCCCCCCCCCCCCCAAAACCATATTTTCATAAAACATGCTTCAAATCTCTTTAAACTATT